TAACAAAATGGGGTCAGTGGTGGTTTGAATGACTTTCACAGGATGCCTCATGGTCACTGGTCTACATATAATAAAGCATTTTCTTTAAGGAAAATGATTCTTCTGCTACGATAATGTGACAGTAATTCTGACAACATGTCTTTTTAAAGTTAGTAAGTTTAATCATTCATTGTTTATATATGTTTCTATATATAATTTAATATCATATTTCCATGCAGTGTAATGTAAAATGAAATGCTTCTACTTTTAATTGAGCTCATTTAATCAGGGTGACTACAGAGTGACTACAGCCATAGCACGACCTGTCTCACTGAATTTCTCATGATATTGAATTTTCTTTTCCGTATTTCATGTGTGGCACTCCTCCTCAGCCTCATATTTAAAATGTAAATATTTTTTATTATAATTATAAAAATATTGCATACTTTTTAGCTATAAAATTAGTATTTAAAAGCAAATATACATGTAAAAACCTCAGTTGTGATTTCTGTTAAGGGCATCTTGAAATTCCTTTACTATCTCCAAGACTCCTGAAAAATGTGAGTCTGGTGGTTAAAAACCGGATAGAACTGGTTTTCTTTACTCCCCATATGGCAAGTAATCATACATTTGCTAAATCTAAAGAAGTTCATTCATATTATTTTTAATTAACATTAATATTTAACATATGGTGATACCACAAATATGAATTATTGTATTTGATCAATGGAGGAAGAGTCTTTATTCTGCCCAAGGGCAATTTGTTTAAACTACTACTTGCTTATTGGCTTGGAATTGAACCCAGACCTCCTGCATGGCACACAAGAATTTGACCCCTGAACTGTCAATGTATCACTCTGATTGGGTGAGTTAATTTCAAAACTGTAAGTGTTTTATTTTCCATTACTACAATTACTATAGCAAGTGTTAATTGAAAATGTAGTTAAAACAAACAAACAATCAAACAAACACATTTTTCTCAAAATAACCACAGCAAGTGACGGAGTTAAAGAATTTGATGCAGAAAATGTTCATTAAGAAGATAGAATACTATTTTATGCACTTTATTTTTCATTTTCAGCTAGCACAATGAGCTGTATAAGTACAGTATATTATGTAATATTTGCAATGCCCAGGCCGGGACTGACTCACATCCTTCTGTTGCCACTGGTAACAGCAACATTCCCACAAGCGCTCAACCTGTCATTTAAACTAGGTTAGGATGTTTTTTCTAAGTTTTTTACATTTTTTACATTTTTAAGCCTTCAAACTTTCAATCAGTCTTCAGATATAGTTCCCAATCATGTTAATTAGTCATTTATTTAAGACCACTGAATCTTTGCTCTGTCATTAGTAATTAGAAATTCATTCACATTCTACTAAAATGTATTCCTGTACTCATCCTTGCTTTATTCCCTGGAACTACATCTCCAAAGAATCATTTTTGTTACGAAGTTTTTCCTTTTATTTGTTCAGTTTCCATCTTAGCTCAAGGAGATTTTTTTTCTTTTTTTTTTACAACTCCAGCTCACCAATTTTTTATTTTCTTTTTCTTACACACCTTTCTTATTTGGACCGAAGTCCTAATGTCTGTCTACATCCAACTCACTACTACCTTACCCTGCCCATTTAATCACATTTAAAAGTGCACTGAGTCCTGCACCTGGGCTTCGAAAGCATCTCCTGCTGCAGAGCCGTTTCCAACCTCCTGCAGAATTACAATGTTTATATTCATAAATTAATATTGTAAATGACATTCAGAAAAGTAATTATACTTTGATTATTTTTATTTACCCTTTAGTTACATTATTCCATATTAATATTCCATAATATGTGGATTTAAATAGGTAGATTAAATTAACCCCATTTAACTACCGTTTCACTAACATCTAACACACCACAAATGCCACCTATTTATCTTCTTTGGGCAGTGAAAAGCTAAATTTGATGCGCTTTTTGAATGGCTGCATCTGTAAGTCTCACACTCAGGACTTCCTGTATCTCTTGCCTCTCATAAAGTGCAGATTTTCCTAAGCACTCTGCGCCTTGTGTTGTCACAGGGACAACCATTGGGGCAGAATCACCAGAGTTTTATTTTATTTCCACCAGAAGTTTTATTTATATCTCTCCCGTCTTTCATTGCTACATCACGTACCACATCAAGTATACCCTAATGTATACCGTTACAATTTATAGCCTGCTGGAGACTGTGTCACCAAGTAGTTGGTTCCCTATTCTCACCAAGATTGAGGATCCTGCTGCTACTGCTAGCTACTAGTGCTGCCATTTGCAGACTTGTGTCCTGGTACCCACAGCATACAGTATGTGCTTCTAAAGTGCTGCATCTCAACCCACATGCTCATACAAGTGCAAACCCTTCTGCAAACCTTCGTGTGTAAATCAGAGGTTATACAGCAAAAGACAATAAGGTGCACGACACAGAAAAAAACAAGAAAACAGATATCAGCACTGCCTTGGATTAAAAGCATCATACTCTGCTCCTGGGCTTCAGAGTCTCAGGCAACATAGGAGTTCTCACATAAATACGATAATATATTATACAACCAAATAATAGGTAGTTCTGGTGGGTAACACAATAATAAGATGTGATATGAAATGTTTCTCGAATAGATGACAGTGTATGTCAAAGTCTGAAGGTGTAAAGTGCACCATTTTTAAACTGCCCCACTCAACTTTTGTGTTGAAATTAAGATATGATATGACATGCTTCTCAAATAGCTGAACGACAGTCTATGTCAAAGTCTGAAGATGTAAAGTGCACCTGAAACTGTAAAACATTACAGGTCATCTTCAGGTAGGTGTGACATTAATCCATGGTATTAAATATGCCTCTCCCTTAGTCAACACTCTGTGTATTTTGAAATGTTGTCTGTTTTGAAATAAGGCCTGTGACAAGTAATTTTATTGGTCATTCATTGTCTGAAATGTATTTAAATAGGACTTGCAGAATGGAGCATTTTCACCAAGCTGATACGTTGGACACACTACTATTTCTAAGGTGCAGCAATTAACAGGTACTGAACTTTACCTTTCATTTCTTTTACCGAGACAAACTTTTATGAGTACTGTATTAGCACATACAAAAAAGCATAGATTTTGTCTTTGTGCTTCTAAAAGCTGTTAATCCATCCAGTCATTATTAGAGATCCGCTTATTCCTTGGAGAATAATTCCGAAAACTAACAGCACAATGCAGGACGACACCATGGATGAGATGCCAGTCCACTGTAAGGCACATAGATATTTACACACGCACACACAAATAGTTAAGAGACACTAAATTACCCAGCCAGCACATCTTCAAAAGGTGGTAGGAAACCAGAGCACCAGAAGAAAACCTTAATAAGGTATAAAAAAGCTGAAGCCAACACTTTTTAACTGTTTGATACTTAATTCTTTGTTTTTATTATCTTCCTTAGCTTCCAGTGAATCATGAAGACGGCTCTCTTTCTGATGCTACTCATTGGGCTGAGCATTGCTCTTCCAGTAAGTGTTTCACTACGTAAATGAAATGCCATTACTTCCAGAGACTAGCAAAATAAATAACCTCACAGAGATACTAGAGCGGAGTATACTGTATATGTATATTATTTTGAATTAATGTTTACCTTGATTCTATTATTTATGTTTGAAAGAAAAAATTATTTTCTTTTCATTAGTTTCTCATACACTCTGCAAAAAGACGCGCAATACCTTAAATGACTGAGAGCTTGTAAAACTAATTGTTTTTTTTTTTGTACAGTAAAGGTATTGCCAGAGCAACATTTTTTACACTGTTTGAATATGCCATTATTTTAACAGGTCGAAGAAGAGCACCACCGTGAAGCACGACATAGCTCTGGAATTAATCCAGTATGTATTATACCTTTCCTTATGTGGCTAAAAAAGCATGCTTACAAAATTAATGGGTAAATGATAAAGAAATTGCTTTCTATCAAATCAAGTGACTTCACCATGTTGTGTCTGTATGTGATTAAGCCAATCTAGATAAATTAAGTATGAAGCACTTTGTGTTTCAAATATGATGTTTCCTCTCCACTATCTGATTTCTGACATTTCTACATAATAACTATCATTTCGGGATGTATTTTGGTAATCATTTTCTTGTACTATATAAATCATTGTGCAACACTAAAATGTTTTGGACTTGGAACAAAATGGTTCCATTTAATAATTTTAGAATAATAACCATCAGTACATTCTTCATCATTCAACAGGCAAAAGGTAGCAGTCCTGCCTCTGGTACATCTTTAGACTTGGCCTCGATTCTACAGATGGTGAAAGCCATATTAGCAGCACTTGGGCTTTAATATGGTAAGCATGTTTCATTTAAAAAGTTCATTAGCCACACTCTGTGTTTGACTTTTGAATAATGTAAGGACAAAATGTTACCTGTTCTACTCCTTTCTCTATTTTTGTCTTTTTTAAAGAAATGATCTTCTGTGTTCCACAGGAAGGACATGAGGCTTCACAAACTCCTGCAGCAGAACAAACTCTTTTTCCAGCTGGCTAAAAGCAGCCGTCTGCAGTCTTGTTTCTCCTTTCTAGATTTTCTGTAGAATTATTGTTTTCCTTTCAGTGATTATGGAAATGTGCTTACATGTGCATGCAGCATGCAATGATCAATAAACTACTCAATGCATACTTGTCTTGTTAATGTGTGCCGCTTTATAATTTATTTTTAGTGTTCTAACAAATAGAGTTACAGAGATAGCAGAAATTATTAAAGAAATGTGGGAAACTACTGTACCTTGCTCACCTTTCCCAATATTTAGCGGGGTTTGTGTAGCTTTGGATAGGCTGTCATTCCCTTAGATAGGCAAGGCTCCCCAAATAATGTATACATCTTCATCTCTCTTTCATCAGGATCTAATCTAACTACTGACTTCCATATAAGGTTTCACTGTACTGAACCACAGCATGTTATGTCATTTTTATGGACATGATATGCTACAGTACGTCTAGTAGTACCATACTGAGTTATCATACAATCTATGACATATCCAATAGAACATGTATTTTTGGACTTACTGTATATGGTATAGATTCACAACATGTGTCTGAATAATTTAGAGCACTTTCCATCCCCTGTGACTTTCTACCATGCTGTCATCATTCCTAATTGATTGTGCCAAGCTAAAGAATTTACAGCTTTCAGGAGACACTTAAAAGGATTCCCATGTTGTGTGCATTTAATGTGTCTATATATTACAAACTCTTAAGCACCCGTTCATACTCCAGATGTCACACTCTCTGCAGGGGATACCTGTAATATCCCCAAAAACTATGATTAAAGAGCTGAGTCTTACGTTATAAATGGAGTTTAAAACAAATATTGATGAGAACATCAGACATGATAAACTCTGTAATTATCACGCCTCTTGTGGACTTGTTTGTGTTTTGTTTCCTTATCCCTCCTTCCAGCCCCTCCTTGACCTTGAAGCAGCTCCCTGGCTCATTCTTAAATAGAGATGTTGGGGTGGTTCTGAGTGTCCCATTCTTATGGACAGGTTGTTGTTCTCCTAAATAACAAAATTACTCTAATAAAGCTCTCTTTTCAATAATGTTTCGTCTCCACCTTAAGAAGAGGTTGGCCAAGCTACTGAAGGGGTTACGTTACCTGTCTCTTTTTTAAGTGTGTAGATCATTACCTCACAAAATGAAGAATTGTTTTGATTGTGGAAGCAGACTACTTGCAACAACTACTACTTACATTTCCCAGAACCACCACTTTACCCACAGACAAGCAACAGACATTAGACCCGTGTAGAGGTTAAGTGCCCTTTTTGTTTTCTAAACAATTGCAACAGTTATATCTACACAAAACACAGACCCCACAACACACATAATATGTCCAAGGGACACACTTGATTGACAGAAGTTAAACAGCACATTTAGAAAGGAAATGAAAACAGAAAGAAACCCTTCTTCCACAATCACAATGGTCTCCTTTAAGAAGCAGAAACGAGGACAACCAAAAAAGTATTCCACAATGTCCAGTCTCCCCAGTCTCTGCACTGGTCAGGCTGTCATGACAATCCTCCCACAGGCTACACTCTGTTTTCACCATTTCTGTTGTCTCAGTATAAGCTCTCTAGGCCTGTTGCTCTGTTCCATTCCAACCTGGGAAAAACAGTCCCAGCACAGTTCCTCAGTTCTATCACCTATGTTTCCTATCATCTGCAGATCAACTGCAAACTCTGTCCCGCTGTCTCACAGAAAGCAGGTTCCCTTGTTCTGTCTCTCCAGTGTCTAGGGGCTCAGGGGAGGAAGAGAGAAAGCCCATCTGCTTAAGCTCAGATGTTTTTTCTCTAACAGTTAGCCAGTTTCCCTCAGAGGGGGTTATTGGCAGTCTCCATTGGAGACAGGAGTGTTTAACTGAGTATCAGGAGGAAGCTTGGGTAGTTTTAGAATTGTCATTATGCAGATGTCCAACTGTCCTTAGGCCCTATCACTTCTTTGTTTCCTTTCCTGCCCCACATTGGTCCAAACTGGCTCAGCAAACCCACATACTTCCATTCAACTTTATTTGTCATTATACTTGCACAGGTGCAAACTGTTTTATAGCGAAAAGTGTTTCTCATTAGACTCTCAGGTGCAGTATATAAATAGAACAGCAGACAAGACAACAGCAGAAATACAATAACAATAACAGTGTTAACAACAGTGTGGTGCTAGTGCACAATTGTCAAAAACCATGCAAATACGCAGAGAAAAGTAAACAAACAAGACAAAAACAGTGCAAAATTAATACGGTGATTAATAAATAGTACAACTAGTACAGTTTTAAGTACAAGTTCGGCTTACATTCAGTTGTCGTGTATGTAGTGGTGTAGGAGTACAGTCAATGTGGGTACAGGAAGAATTGAGGAGAGATCATAGTATGATGGGAGGGAATGGGAGCGTCACCAGCTTGAGGGCTCTGGGGAAGAAGCTATTTTGGAGTCTTGTTGTGTGCGACTGGAGTGTACGGAACCTTCTACCAGATGGTAGGGGGACAAACAAGTTATGACTGGGGTGAGTGGGGTCAGACATAAATTTGGTGGCTATTTTCAGACTCTTGGTGTTGTAGATTTCCTGGATGGATGGTAAGGCACTGCCGATGTGTTGGCAGTTTTGACCACCCGTTGCAGTGCCTTACGGTCAGATGCTTCCATGTGCCAATACCTAAGGTGTGGTGTTTGTGTTATGTCTGGGCAAATAGTGTGCTCTTCAGTCCTTGTTGTGTCCTGCCCCACTATCTGCATTTAAACACTGAAGCTGAAGACTTTGGAGGAACAAATAGACACAGGAGAAGGACAGACAGGTATACACACATTGACGCAATCCAGCCCACCAAGTGCAAACTTAATTAAACACAGCCCATAAGCCTGACCCTTCTTCATCTGTTGGCAATCTGTGACACATACAGTACATTGTTCAAAAGTACACTCTACACTGGCCAGGCAGTGAGTATCAGGAGGAAGCCTGGGTCATTTTAGAATTGTTATAATTGACTTCTTTCCAGCCCCATGCTGGTCCAAGCTGGCTCAGCAAACACACATATATGTGGCAATACCTAAGGTGTGGTAAATGCGTTATGTCTGGGCAAATAGTGTGCTCTTCAATGCTTGCTGCTTGCCACCCAACGATCTGCATTTAAACACTGAAGTTGAAAACTAACAGACATAGAAAAAGGACAGACAAATGTACATTGATACAATCCTGGCCACCAAGTGCAAACTTACTTAAACAGCCCATAAGCCTGTCCCTTCTTCAACTGTTGGCATTCTGTGACACATACATTGCTCAAAAATACACTCCTAGAGAATAAACACTGTAATTCCATTTTTACCAAAATCACAGCATACCATGTCAGCATTATGGCCTCTTCAAGTAAATTTTTAACCATATAACAAAAATAATTTGTGATATTAAATAAAAGTCAGTAATTCCAATATATATCAACTATGAGATATTTGTCTTAATCTTAATTTTAATTTACCTGCCTTTACCTAACTGAATTATTTCCCCTACCAAATATATTTCTTAACAAAGCCTACCCAAAAAGCTTCACCAGTGTCTGTTGTCAATCATATAAGTTTACAAAATATCAGACTTTTTAATTTATAACAAAATTAAACACATTTGCGTACATGATGGAACTATAACAAAGTAATGATATAAATTCAGCAGGATGATTAGCTCCTAATCTTGGACAATTCTGCTCAACTACATTCATACAGATGTACTGTAACCATTTAAAATGCACAAGGTGCAATGTAGCATACAACAACAAGTGCTGTAGCATGGTGAACCAAACCGTGTCTCCCTGTTTTTATTTTTTCAAATACTCTGATGCAGGACTGCAAACTCTGTAAAACTACGAGGTGATTCAGTAACTCCTTAATGAACTGTATGTGGTTCTCAGACAAATCGTATTTTAATAAAAATTGAAAACTGATTATTTTAGATCTTAATTGTTAAAAATATATACAAGGCAGCTTTAAAACATTTTGTATTTAAAAGCAAATAAACCTTAAAAAATGGGGGTAGTAGTGATTTGAATGACATACTTTAGGTTAGTTTGTTTTCACTTCCTGTGTAAGCAATCATAACATCAGTCATTTCAATCAATTGTTGTTTGTATATGTTTCTATATATCATATAATATTTCTTTGAAGTGTAATATAAAATGAAATACTTATAGTTTTTAATTTAGCTCGTTCAATCACAGTGATTACCGAGTGACTACGGTCATAGAATGGCCTGTCTGGATGAATTTCTCATGATATTGAATTTCTTTTTCACATTTCATCTGTGGCACCCCTCCTCCGCCCTATCCCCACCTTTGCAATTTTATACATTGAGAAGGTAATAATCAAGGTGATGTCAAAAACCTCCTTGAATGACCACATCATTTGTTT